GAGAGCAGTCACCAGGCAGTGTGTGTGTGTGTCCCAGAGTCCCTGCCAAGAACGGGGGCTGCTGGGGAGGCTCCGGGGACAGGGCTGGGATGAGGGACACGGCCAGGAAAAGCCTGCAGGACCCCTCCAAGGCTGTCCCAGCGACCTGCACAGGGAGCAGCAGCAGCAGATGCAGACCCAGAGCTTTGGCAGCACGAGGAACACGTTCAGTAAAGCGACAAAAACACCAAATCCTGGTTCGCAAACCCTTCGGAGCCGAAGTCTCCGCGTGGACTTCACAGACGCCGACTGAGCTCCGAGATGAAAACACGCCCTGAAAGCTCTGAGGCAGCTCCCCAAGGATCAGAGGCTGCTTTGATAGAAGGAAAATAGGCTGGTTCATTAGAAGCCCACACAGAGAAGAGTTTTTCACCAACCAACAGCATCATGTGAAGCAGTGACCTCCAGGAACTCGCATCCCTCAGAGCACACAGCGCACGAGGCTGGGCAGTGGTGGGGAAGGAGCGGCACCAGGAGGGAGTCACAGAGCAGATCCTGCATGGGAGAACTTTAATGACTATTAGAAACCACTTAGAGACAGATGAGGGTGGTGGGGAGGGAAGGGTCAACTGCAGGTAATGACGACAAAGGAAATAAAGAGGAGCTGCTCAAACGCTGATGATTCTTCCAACCTCTCTTCCCCCAAACTCGACTCTCTGCAGGAACAGAGAACAAGGGAGAACTTCTGAAATGCTCTTCCAGAAAGGGCTGGTGGCTCAAAGTGGCCTCCAGGGCTCAGCTCCAGAGAGGGAGATACAAAACTCACCAGAGGAACTTTAAATGCAGAGGTTCTTATTTCTCCCAGGCTCACCCCGGTCCCTGCTCCCTTTGGTTTTCACCCATTGCTCAACATCTGCAGGAAGCACCCCTGGGGCACAGCAAGATGCCTTCACATCTGGCACAGCTGTGCTAGAGAAGTAATGCAAAATAATACACAGGCACATGTTAGGGCAGGTTCCAGGAAATCAGGGGACAAAGTTAAACTGAATTCCACAGAAATGAAGTGAAAAAATAGTCCTCAGGGGGAGAAAAAAAAGGGTGTTTGTGCAAGGGAGGAAAATGCAGCTCCAAGGCTGAAAAGGCAAGATGGAGACGAGACACTGAAGAGGAGGAACTGAATCCAGACAGGAATAAACTCCACGGATTTGGCAGCTCCCCACCTGCAGCCCCACCTCTTCCCTCTGCATTCCCTTAGCATGGGATTATTAACACAAAATCAAGGGAGAAAGGAATGGTTCCTGGGGGAAATGACACAGGAAGACTCAGAGAGTGGGAGGGCAGTTGGGGTAATGTGAGAGATGATGCAACCCCCCTAAAATACACAACCCAAAGAGGCTCTTGAGTATTTTTGATCCGAATCCCACGACGCTCTGGCACAGCAGCAACAACAGCACCTTCCCAGCTAAAATCCCAGTCCCTCCTAGCAACTCTACCACATGCAGTGGCAAAACACAACCCAAGCTCTAAAAGATCTGAAAAGCCTCATTATTAAAAAAAAACAAAAACAAAAACAAACCCATCCACATTTAGGAGTGAATTTCCCATCTCAGAAACATCTCGTGAACCTTCCAAACTCGCCAGCCGGTCTGTCCCGGGCAGACAAAGCAGGAGCTCGTTAATCTGAGCTCATGGAACTCCTTCACTTGGCAGGAGCAGAGCCTTCTAAATAGTTTCACTGGTGGAACAAACAGCCAAATGCTGTTCTGGGGGAGAAGGCTGTGGCAGCTGCTCACCTGCTCAGCAGGGCAGGCTGGAGCTGGCACTGCCTCCCCTTCACTCCCTCCTGTTCTCCAGCTCAGCAGCATAAAGCAAACTTTCTGTGGCAAGCATTAAACTGCTTTCCTAGGCTTCCCCAGGTTTGAAATGCTCTGCTCTGGAGGAATTTGGCTCTGCACAGACACCTTTTTTACCTCCAGCTACAGCGGGACGGCTGCAGGAACCTTCCCTGCTGAACACCTGGTTACACCTCGAAAAACACACACCTGAGCTGAGTCAATGCCTGTAAACACACAGAAATTGGGTTGTTAATCATCTCCTGCAGCACCACCTCGGCTGGCAACAGCAACATTATCGTGTCTAAGATTAGACACAGAGCCCAGACAAGCTGGAGGAGATCTCAGCACCTGACAGACAGAAGGGCGAGGGACACACAACCACACTTTCATTGTCTGCGTGGATTTAAACCCCAGCAGAAGAGCACAGAGGAAATCTAGAGCTGTTCCTCCACAGGCAAAGCAAAAACCCCCCGTAAAGTTACTCTGAGGGGTGCTCAGAGTGCAGTCCTGATCTCCCCAGCCCATGAGGAGGTGGGAGAGGGGGGACACAGGGGTGCAGGACACTGAGCTGCAGGACCCAGATTCCTGCCACCCCCCATGGCAGTTCCATCCCTCACCTCAAACATCCCCCAGCAACCGGTCTAAGGGCTCACAGGGAAACCAGCAGATCAAAGACAGCAGTTTAAATCAAGTCAAACCTCCCCAAAGCTTCAGGGCAAGCCCCCTGAGGGCAGAGGAGGCTGGGACACGTCTGCCCCAGGGCAGGATTGGTGCCACCAGGACCAGCCTGGGGGCTGCCCATCATCAAACAGGGGCTGGGGATGGTTCAGGTGCTCAGTTTGGAGCGTTTTGGCCTCTCAGCAGGGAGGGGGAGCCTCGGGCAGGAGCCCCCAGCTGCCCTGATGAGCTCATATCATGATATTCCTGAGCTCACGTCCCCTCAGGGCTCCAGCCCAAGCTGCTTTGGGGGATTTTTCTTCTTTTGCATGTGTTTAGGGGGGAAAACATCACTGATCCCTTCAGATCTCTCAGCCAGGACAAAGTGAAGGGCAAGAGAACCCCAAGTCTTGAAGACAAGAAGGAGTCTGGGGGTGAGGATGTAAGAGAATCCCACGCTGGGCTGGGTGGAAGGGACCTTAAAGATCATCCACTTCCAAACCCCTGCCATGGGCAGGGACAGCTCCCCCTGGAACACAGCTACTCCATCCCCCTCTCCATCTTCTTCCTTCCAGCCTGGCCCCCCCTCTCCTGGCCCTTCCCAATCTGACAGGCTCATCTTCACGCTGCTCCTCTCTCCCCCTCCTGCTCCCTCCACGGCACAATTTTATTTCTCACCTGTCAAGGCAATCCAGACCCGAAGTCCCCTGACAGAAGCTGAGAGAGCAGTTAAAAGAGCTGTAAAATGTGTTATTTTATTAATATGGCTCAAACAGCTCCTCAGCCTCCAGTGCTCCGCTCGGACCTGCAGCGTCCTCTCCCTTGGAACACTTTATTGCAGGATTTACATCCAACAGGTTGGGCAGCCAATGAGGCTCAGATGAGGATTCTCCAGGGAGGGGGGATCAGCACTGAAGGCAGTTCCATCAACCTGGCTCATAAAAACCCAACAAAACGTCTATTTTTAAAGAGGGGAGGATGAATAATAATGATAATGCAGATTTTTATAAGTGCAGGTCAAGCCAAGGTTACTCAAAGTGCTGAGTTAATGGTCTCATAAATACCACCATGAGATCACATTCCATAGCTTGGAAATACATAGGAATTATCCCCCAGATGAAATTTAATTTTGTTTATTTGTGCACGGCTCCGGACATGACTAAAACTATTCATAAAGCTTAGGAAATGAAATATTTAGCTGGGAGATACTTCAATATAGGGCGGTTGATTTGGCTGCAAGTCTATCTGCCATATTACCAATAATTAAACCCAGGTTTTCATAGACAGAAGGGGAAAAAAAAAAAAAGGGTTTCAGCTCTATTTTCATGCTGAATCATATCAACATGTTTAAAGAGGAGATAGGAGTGCCAGGTTTTTGGTTGTTGTTGGTTTTGTTTTTTTTCCCCCCTACGGGCAAAAAATTATTGAAAAAAATGAGTCATCTGAATTTAATTATCAGGCTCTGAGTTGTGAGGGCCAGCTTTGAAAAATGAGATTCCAAATAAGACTCTCTGTAATTCCGCTTGTGGGACTGCGAAGTTTCCCTTCAGGAATATTCAGTGAGGTGCCTCTGGTGGGTTCATCTTCCCCCCACTCCCCACGTGTTCCCTGGTGCCATAAAAATGAGGGATGGACCTCAAAAGGCAGGAGCAGCTCCTTCCCCAAACCCTGAACCAGCCACTGGAGCTCCTCTCACAGTCACAGCCTTTCATCTGCTGAGCCATTTCTAAAGTTCTTCCCTGCTGCACTTAGGGATGGTTTATTAATTTATTTTTTTTTATTTTTTTTTTTCCCCCCAGCAGGTTCACTCTGACAGGCTTTGTTTTCTTTTTGATGTGACAAGACACAGCGTTGCACTGGCAACACCTCCGGGCTGAATAATGTTTCTTAACCAGCTCCATCCATCTTTCCTCACACCCCACAGGTGACTGATCCTCACTGCAGCCCAGAATGGCTCAAAACCAGCAGTGCCCTCAAATATTAATGCATCTAATCAAACCAGGGTGGGTTGTTTGGCTTGGTTTTTTTTTTTCATAGAACGGCAAAATCTAATTTTCCAAGGAGTCCTGGGAATGGTAAACAATTGGCACACAGGAAATGGCAACTTCTCTCACATCAATCCGTCCTCAGAATTCAAATCCCGATCCCCCAAAATGGCCAGCGAGTGGAAATCACCCCAATGAATGGGATTTGTGGCAGAAACCTAATAAATAATCACAATTTCACTTCCTGCTGATAATCCCAGGCAACACTTAAATCTTGCAAATATTTAATTCTCCCTTTCCAGAGGGACACTGGGTTTGAGATCAGCATCCCAGACCGGCCACTTGCTGCTGGTCAGGGTTTTTAACTAGGCCTTTATTCTGAATAAAAGCAGTATTTCTGAGAGCACTGGGACGAGAGGGGGATGGGAATTCTATCCACAGCCTCCTGTCAAAGCCACAAACTGATCTGCTGAAACACTTGCCAGGAGTTCATTGACAGTAAAGCAGCAGATTTAGCAACAATCAGGAAAAAAAATGCAGCCACCTACCAGAGCGAGGATCCCTCTGTCCCAGCCACTTCTAAAACATCATATCCATCTTCCAGCTGAAAGTCCATGAAAACCAGAGCGATGGTGTCCCCAGGCTCAGCCAGGATAGTCCAGGTGCAGTCGGCGTTGTTGCCGTACTCCAGAGGGAAATGGGGGCTGGAGATGATCCCGCTCTGCCCCCGCAGGGTCCCCCCACAGGCGTCATCAGCTGCAACGGGACAGAGGGATCAGGGCTGGGAACACACAGAGCAACAAAAACCAGCCCCAGTTCACAGCCGAGCCCCGCTGGTTCTACCCAGGTGTGTTTTGAGAGACAAAGATGCTGAGGGGTGGGTTGGGACAACAGGACTTGGGAGCACAAATACTGCATTTAACAGAAATCTGACAGTAAAAGGACTGGAGCATCCCACACACCTGCCTTAGGTGTCTTTGCCCGCTCTGATTTCTTAGGGAAATTTATGTGGTGAAAACTTAAAACCCCTCGTGCAGAAATCCAGCAGCGACAACCCCTGGGCCTGCACCGGATTCTCCCGCTCCAGGTCCCCTCCTTTTCAGAGCCTGAATTTCTTGAGGAGGTATCAGAACAGCTAAAAGAGGAGGATCTGAAGAGAACACGGTCAGGAAGGTAAAGGGAAGATGGAATTAAGTGGATGAGCACAGGGCAGCTCAGAGCATCAGCTCAGCATTATTTGGAACAGCACAAAGCAAAGCCTGTTAACTTTACAACATGTAGCAGAGCTGCATTTCAGATGCTTTAGTCAAGGAGCTCGGGGCTTTACATGACAAACACTTATTTCCATTCCAGACTATTTTAAGCCAACCCCCCCTTCCAAGCTGCAGTTTAACAGGGCTGAGAACACGAGTTAAACACAGGGGGCAGAACGGGCAGGGCCATCCCAGGGGGCTGCTCAGAGGGATCCTCAGCTCTCAGACCTTCACAGGAGCTCCTGTCCTGTGCCATCAGCGGGGTTTGCCAGCAGAGCTGGATCTTGCAGCCTCCAGCTAAGGGAACTGGAGAGGCAGAGCGTGGCACCCGTGCTGTGCCACCCGTGCTGTGCCACCCCCTCCCCGCGGCCCATCTGCCCAAACTGAGAGCAGGAGGTACCAGGGACGGATGGGGAGCGGCAGGGAGGGCCCCCTCGGGGGACTTCCAAAGCTCCATGTAAAAAGAAAAAGGGTTGATTCCAAACATATTCTTGTACTAGAAGGAGCACAGAAGGGGATGGAGAAGATGCTAAAGAATTTTGACTCAGTGCTGGATTTGAATTCTTAAACAAGGAGATTAATTTGTTTTATTGGACTGTGCAAACTTGCAGTAGTCGAAGATCCAGCCTAAGGCATGGTGGGGGGTTGGCTGTTTTATAACCACTATTACTATTATTAAAAGGGGAGTTTTTAATTCAAATCCCTTGAAAAAAAAAAACTTCATTGCAAAAGGTATTTAATGGAAAATACATTCCCTTCCCATCCACCTCTAAATACACACACACTCCCTCAGTTTGTAGAGGTTGTTATTGCTTAAACATATCCTACAATCTTCTCAAATCTTCTTGAACAGCCCTTCAATTATTTTGGGCACAGCACAGCCTAAGCAGCTGCTTGAGTTACAGTAAGACAGACCACTTTTAATGAGATTATGCATATTTGATATGCTTAAAATGGAGCTTCACAAATGCTCCCAACTCTTCCCCTGCCTTGCTGAGTTTTTACTCAGCTGCCTCCCAGAACCACAAACCCATCAGTTCTGCTTAAACTCAGCCAACAATCTGGGCAAGGCTTCTCCCCCTCTGCACGGATGGGAGAGCTTCACTTCACAGCACGTTCAGATGTTTTGGGATCATCTCCTGGTGCCTCAAAAGCAGCGTTTTGCTGTGCTTGGAGTTTGCTGAGCCAGGGGAGGGTCAGCAATCCCAGACTGAGCTGGGCAAAGGGAGTGCAGAGAATTCCCCAGCATTCCTCCAGCACATCCCCCCACACACCCTGGTGGTTCTTTTCCACCACGAATTTTTGGGCATCTTCGATTCCTTCAAAGCACCAAGACCAGAACAAAGATACCAATGCAGAGACAAGAATATTCCAAAGCAGAGGCCAAACAGAGAGCAAAGGGCACAAAGAAACCAGGGGTCAGTGTGGCCCAATCCTGCAGCTGTGTCCCACCTCTGGAGCTATCCTGGAGGGAAGAGCCCTCAACCAAACAATGTCCTTTATAGTGACACCAGACAGATTAATCCCAAGGCAGCAGCTCCCAGGTTTTACCCCCTGCTCACCCAGAGAGCACCTCTCATCCCTATTCGTTGGAATCCCATCTCCAGCTCAGATTAAAAAACAATCCCTCCAAATACATTCAACAAACTTTCAGGTGACAGTGACCCATAAGCCAATATTAACAGAATTAATTATAAGCCATAGAGGCCACTAAGATCTTTTTGCTCTCAAGAAAATATATATGTATATATATATATATATTTTTTTTTACTCTCCTTCAGGCAGCAGCTTTGAAAACATTATTTTCCCAGCAGAAGAAGGTGTAAAGCTGTTTGTCAGAATGCAAATCTTGCTGCCCCTTGCAGCAGCCCAAAGTCTCTATCACCAGTTTATCAGCCAGGCACAACTGTCTGGCTCCTGGGAGCCCCCCGAGGGTGGAAGGAGGGCAGCAGGGTTTCAAATCCAGCAAGTCAATTTGCAGGCTGTCTCTGCTGCTTTTCTCCTTCCTTGGAACAAGATATAACTGCTGCACGGGAATATTTCTGGTTCCTGCCTCTGAAAAAAAATAATACTTCAAGCGAAAGCTCCGAGTCTTGAAGGATCAGGAGCAAATGTAGTAAAAAAAAAGAAGTGGCTGCCTCCAGGAACCTGCAGGCACAGGAACCAGCCCACCTGAACCAGCACTCGCTGTGCTGCCATCAGAGCCATTCCCAGAGCACTGATGGAAGAGCTGAGCCGGGTCAGAGCCATCAGCACCGCCGGCTCAGGACGGGGAGGGCAGGGCTGAAATCACAGCTGAGTTGGGCAGTTCAAGGGAACAAACCCTGCAGGTTGAACTGCAGCGAATTTCAGTGTCCAAAGGAGGCTGAGAAGGTGGGGAAGGGCCTGGAGGGGCCATGTGAGGAGCAGCTGAGGGCTGGTGGACCTTTGTGGGTCCCGACTCAGGTTATTCTGTGATCCTATGAATGTTTTCCCTGCACGCACTCCCAGCGAAAGTGGAAAAATAAAATCAAAGAACACTTAAAAAGCCACGGTGATAGTCCTAACGTGAAGGAAAAGCAAAGAAAAGAACCATAACTGATCACAAAAAAGGCCAGTGATGAGTGTCCCTCTCCAGCAGCAGTTTGAACCCCTCCTCCAGCGCTCTGAACGCCCTTGGCCCCAGAACAGCAGGTGGGGAGTACAAAAAAAACCCCACTGAGCAGCATAAATACCCATCTTAGTGCTGTGTAACCAACCTGAGCAGGCATTGAAAACATCCCCAGCAAACAATATTTGCTGGCTTTAAATTCCTGATTTACGCCGCAGCTTAGAAGTGCTGATTGATTGCACAGGCAGAGTCAATAGAGAGAATCAATAGAAGATGCTCTGCTGAAGCACACAAGGAATTGAGGGGGAAAGGACTTCAAAAGCAGCAGCAAATGTTTTTGGTAGAACAACACAGACACTTGTGTATTTACAGACTCTCCAGTCCCTCGTGGCACTCGAATTAGCAACGTGCTCTCTGCACTGAGAAAGGGATTTAGGTTTCCCTGCCCCAGACTCGCAGGGAGAAAGAAGGGGAGGCTTTTCCAAGGGAAGGTCAGGTTTTACCTCTCAGCCCCACTGCCCCCAGGCCACAGTACACCCCCACAATCACCAGGGAATGGGGCCACAAGAAAAGTTCAACAGAGAGTGGGAAATCCGGGCTCATCTCCCAGGGTTTGATCCGGAAAACCTGCACGGTCCTGGGTAGGTGTCTTGTCTAATGGACAGTCACAGAATCCCAGGAGGATGTGGGCTGGAAAGGATCTTAAAGCTCATCCAGTCCACCCCCTGCCACACCTTCCACTAGCCCAGGTTGCTCCAAGCTGGCCTTGGACACTTCCAGGGATGGGGCAGCCACAGCTTCTCTGGGCAAACCTGTGCCAGGGCCTGCCCACCCTCACTGGGAAGGATTTCTTCCTAATAACTCATCCAAACTTACTCTCTTCCATTTTAAAGCCATTTCCCCTTGTCCTATCACGTCACACCCAGGTACAGTTAGGTTTTTTCCCCCTACTTCACGCACAGAAACTGCAGTTAAAGCAGCATTTCCAATCCTCTGAGCGCTTCAGAACCTCCCCATCCCTCCCCCGAGCCCCGGCAGCTCCGAGGAACCCAGCACAAAGGAACCTCGACATTAACCACATCACATTCAGCTTTCAAGTCCTTCAAATCCCACTCCCGCTCTGTGGAGTTTTCCCACCCCCAGAGAGCCCCTGGAACGCCGTTTTCCCGAGGGAGGGGGTGCCGGTACCTCTGCAGACGGGGAGAGGGAAGTCCCAGGAGGCAGAGTTGTCTGAGCTGGCCTGGCACGTCAGCAGGGCATGGCCTTCCAAGAAGAAGCCCGGATTGCAGCTGTACCTCACTCTGTCCCCGATGCTGAACGTTGTCCCCTGCTGGATCCCGTTCTGGAGCCTTCCCGGATTCCCACACGTGTGGCTGGGCAGAGCTGCCAAGGAAAGGGGCTCCTGGTCAATGCATCGCTTCAAATGTAACCACCAAGTTTAATGTGCACTGAACTTACCTGCTGGATTGCTCCAGAATTCATTAGACCACTTGGAGTTAATAATTAAATATTATTTCTACTTTATATATATATATACACACACATCCCAATGTATATATAATTTTATATATACACCTAATTTAAATACATTATATGTAGATATATTTTATATAAGGAAACAAAAGCACAGCCTGACAGAATATTCTGAGTTGGGAGGGACCCACCAGGATCATCAAACCTCTCAAGTGACAGGCCCACCCAGGGGACTGAACTCAGGGTTATCAGCACCAGGTTTTACCCAACTGAGCTCATCTCAGGGTCAGAAATCACTCCCCCCAAGGTCCTGAGTCAACAAGATCCTCTCTTTCCTGACCAGTTTCACCAATTTCTAAACCAAAAATATCCTTCTTCCCCCCCCCAGTTCTATTTAATTTGATTGCAGTTGATTAAAACCCTGAGACTACATTTCACAGCACCCCTACAGTATAAGCAAGAGTTATGTGCTACCTTAAAACCACACAAAACCCAGCAAACCCCACTGCCCAAGCAGAAGGAACAACAATCTGAGCCCAGCAGGATTTACACTTCCTCGTGTTTAATCCAGATTTCACACACAGCCATCAATCCAGGCTCTGCAACGCAGCTGGACCCAGCTCCAGCAAAATCAGCAAGAATATGGGATTCTGGAATGCAAGATGGCAAAGTTGCAGCTAAACCACCAGTAAATCCTCAGTCAGTGTCTCGGTGCAGCAGTTTCAGGGCATTTAAATAAAATCCATGGGCTCCCCACAAGCCACTCCAAAAGGAGATCGACTCCAATCGCGGTTTTAGAGCCCAATATAAAACCCGGGCGAGACAAGCGGGCCCGAGAATGACTTCATCAAATTTGAATCAGGCCCCTGTGCAGCATCTCGTGTTATGGCTCTTTTTCATTAGGGCTGCCACAGCAGAGGAAGGGGAGCACAGTCCTTCACAGCTGACTGATGGTTTATCACTGTAAACGCTTCGGTCGGGGGGTGCGAGCGAAAGCAGATGAATTTCTACGAGCAAAGGGAGGCCTCGCCCGCTCTTCTGCCAAGGAAAAGAGGAAGATTAAAAGGAAAATGATCCTCTGGCAGCCATGGCGTGGAGCAGAATAAAACACAGCCAGAGCTGGGGGGGCGAGCTTGGGAAGGGAAACACCAATCCCAGCGCGGGCAGAGGACGCCGAGGGAGGGCTTTGGGATGGTGCTGGCCCCTCCAGCACCCTCATCCCAATCTGTAATAACACAGGATTAGGCTTCAGCAGCAACTTCCACGTAGAAATATTACCAACCAGGCAGGTTTTGGGATGCTGTGGAAGATGTCAGACAGGTGGAAAACCAGCACAGAACTAATGTTTCATTTTCTGTAATGATACTCAAAGCCCCAACTTAATTAAATTACCAATGTCACTCTTTTTTTTTAAAAAAAAAAAAGAACCCATTCCTGCTTTTATGTTTCCATCCTTTAAAATTAATGACTAGAACTTCGCTATAAATAAAAATCTATCATTTTTAAAAGTCAATCTCCACCACGAGCTGCTCTCTACTTAATGAACTGTGGAGAATCAGACAACCCTGACCCGCTTGGTATCTTAAAATCATACTTGAAAAACAGGATCTCATATTAAAATTCTGCTTCATTTGGCTGCTTTCACTAATCTCTCGTTACAGGAGGGAGCACACACGAGCTTTTGGGGGAGGCACAGCATTAACTCCTCCAGTGCTCTGGGTTCCTGCAGGAATAGGAGGCCATCTCCTGCCACCTCCCACCTGGGAGGAGAGGCTGAGCCCTCCTGCCAGGGAGTCTGAGAGGGAGAAGGTTCCCCCTGAGGCTCCTTTTCTCCAGGCTGAGCCCCCTCAGTCGCTCCTCACAACATTTATGCTTTCATCAGCTTTGTTATCCCTTCCTGACAAGTCCCACAGCAGAGCAAGGAGGGCTCTGAGGGTGCAGGGCCTGGAGATGCCCTTGGAACCCCCTGCCCAGTCCCCAGGACACCCAAAGTGCCTTTGGCTCAGCGCTGAGTGACTCCCTGAGCTGGTGCAGCCACTGCTCTGCCAGCCCTGGATTTGTGATTCTACTCCAACATCCCTGAGCAGAGATAATATTATTGCTCATCCTTGGCTGCCTCTAACAGCCAGACTCTCTGATTGCCTCAGAGATTAATAGAACTGTATTATTTACATCAGATGTCGCACAGAATAATATTATTAAAGCTTTGTCTTACCCATTTACCAATTCCACTGTAGATTAGTAGCGTGGATTTTTTCCCCCCCCTCCCCATAAAAGCTTTGTTCCCAGCAATCAACATAATATTTTCCAGTGATTGTATGGAAATGAATGCAGCCACAGACCAAGATTTGTACAGATGAATAGAAGGTCCTGTTAGTCATTTTGTAGCTAAGTCTGTGTCTTCCCATGATGAATTTAGAGCAGTTTATTTTATTTGTCTTGATTTGAGCAGCTGCCAAAGCGTTATCTTATTTTATGACAGGGGAAAGGAAATGGGATTATTCTATTGCTGTTGCACCTGGAGGGCTCCTCAACATACCTCGAATGTCACTCTCCCAGGAGTTACTGGGCCCCAGGGACACCCCCATAGCCAAGGTGACACAGCAGAGGAACCACAATCCTGGTGTTAATTGGCAGCACAGACACGATCAGAACCAGAGCAGAGCCTCTGGAGAGGAGGTGAGGTGGGAACCACGAGTGTCACAGATATCAGTGCGATGAAAATGAACTGAACAAACTGCAAACAGGAACCACAGGATTGAGAAGTTCCCATCACCCGCCCCCCTGAGCTGCCAGAGAGCTGCTGCTCTGCTCCAGAAGCTTCATCCCCTTCACCGACTTCAGTTTTACCCCCATTTCTTTCTGCTCTTTCCAACAGGCTCCCACCCCCAGCCTTCCTCACCCCCCTATGATCACTCCCCTGCAAGTCTTGCAGGCCAGGAGCTCTCAGAGCCCGGTGCCTCGTCAAGCTGTGCCGCCCTGTTCCAGTTCATTCGAGATTAATTAGCGGTTCTGAAGTCATTAGATGTGACTCAACGCTTCCCTGGCCGCGGTCCCACCGCCACAGCGCGCTCAGCCCAGCTCCATCAGCTCCATCAGCCTCTCCCAAGCCCCCAAAACCCCGTCAGGAGGAGAAGGGAAGGGAAGGAAGAAGAGCAGAGGTGCTTCTCTTCCCTCTCATCCCATCGACACGTCCAAGCTGCTTTACCTGCCCCAGGTATTTGAGACCCAACTCAAACCCACCCTCTGCTCCAAGGAGGAACCTGCCCTGATTCTCTCTTCAAATTAATCTCCAGCTCCATTTTCTCTGTTTATATTGTTGGAATATAAAATAACCCCACTGTCTAATCCACCCAGCTCCTGCTCTCCAGTCTATTACCCTGTTTACAGAGCTAAAAGAAGCGTTTTTATTGCCTGAATTATCCAGGGGAGTTTACGAGAGAGATTTCCACGCTATCATTGTTCTAACCTTGAAATCTTATCAAGGAGTGCAACTTTTATGATATGAGGCTGTACATCACACCTCTTCATTCCCAACTAATTTCCTTTCCTAATAAAGAAGAAAGGAAAGCAAGCAAGCCCTGCCAGAGCAAGCCCTCCCAGCTCCCCCCCCTGCAGCTCCTCCAGCAGCAATAATTCATAAATCCCATGAAACGACGCTGCACAAACCAAGCAAAATAACAAAATCATTGACCTAAACTGCTTGGCTCAGTCATCTCTGCACACACATTTCCAAATTCATCTCCACTCTGCTGTTTTTTTTAACCCCTCTTCGCATTTTCCTGCATTTCCCGGGGGGGGGAAAAATGGGGTGTGGGAGTCAAGACATCCAAAGGGATGGACAGGGAGGGTTTTTCTGATTTGGACATCAGGAGGAATTTCTGCATGGAAAGGGTGGTCAGGCCTTGGCAGGGGCTGCCCAGGGAGGTTTGGAGTCCCCAGCCCTGGAGGTGTCCAGGGAAGGACTGGATGTGCACTCAGTGCTCTGGGCTGGGGGACAAGGGGGACTCCACGGGCTGGGAGGGCTTTTTCAACCTCAGGGATTCCTGGAGAGCCAGGCTGGGCAGAAGGGGATATTCCCCTGCCCTGCATTGTTACCTTCCAAGAAATTCCAGGGGAAAACCAGATTTTTTTTAAGGAGAATATCCCTAAAATTTCCATCCCAGCTTTAAAAATGACCTGAGACACCTCCAGGGGACACGGAGAGGGCACCTTTGGCACCCCAGGAGAGAGGGGGATCCACCCAGACCCCTTCCCTTCACTCCTCCCCCATAACTTTTGGGCCAAGGACCGCAGGGACCCTCCCTGACTCTCCACCATCCTTCACCAGTGCTTTAAGTACAATCTGCTTTAGCTCAGAAGAGTTTTAATCTTCACAATAACTGTCCAGAGTGTGCTACACAGAAAAGGAAATAAATGGTATCTTTTTCATTTCATTTTATCCTTTTTTTTATGTCATGATTTGTTTCCAGTATAGCCAGAGATAAAGCTAAATGGGAACTATTTTTTCCCCTCTAATATTTCTTTGTTCACTACAAACCAGGCAGATCGTTACTTCTGGATAATAACAGACCAAAATGGTTCATCATCCATCTTCTTTGTGGTGGTAGTTCTGGGGCCCTTCTTCTTCTTCTTCTTCTTTTTGGATTTTTATTTCCAGTTTTCAGTTTACCTTTCTGGAATGTGCTGCAGCCACTTCAGAGCACCTCCAGTGCAACTTCCCAGAGTGTCAGGCAGGCTGAGAGGGGAGTAGTTTAGGTCTGATTTAGTCATCACTCTACAGAAACAGCCAAAAATTCCGAGCATGGAGGCAGCAGGATCAGAGCAGACAGAGCAATAAATGGCCCCAACGTGTTGAGGGTGTGGGGAGGAGGGATCCTGAACATCTGGAACCATCCCAGGATGGTTCA